AGAGCGGTGTTCTCCAGGCGCGTTTGGAAACGAATCGTCTCTTCCTCATGGTCCAGTAAAACTCTGGAGACTTTCTTGATGAACTAACTCGGTTTACTACAGGTTTTGGCTATCTGAGACTTTTCAGGGGTTTGGTGGTTATTTCTCTGGGGTTTGTTGGGGTTTTTTTTGCTTTTTTTCTGGATAAACTTCAAGCAAATACACACCTCTATAACGTAGATTTTTGTTGCACTCTTGAGGGGAAGAAAAAGCCTACAGAGGCCATGCGTATGTCGAAGTTTCCGAAGCATCTTTCCCTGTAGTGTATAGCTGTGCTATTGGCAACTAAATTGCACCAGTCCTCAGTGCTGCTCTCGGTTTTTAAGGCTGCGATGACTGTTGTAACAGCAGAAGGTGTTACTGCCAAATTTCTGTTGACTGAAGAACAGTAACTGTTGGTGCTAACTAGTGTTTGCTCTAGGCACATTCCGAGTGCATGAGTGCTTTTGAAGCAAAGCTTAGCCTAAAGTAGATATCTTTATTGTCTTCAGCAGAAGGTGTGTGTTTTTAATTGTTGGTTGTTGGCCTATTACCTAATCGTTTTGATGTAAGGATAGGGATAGCAGTTCTTTTCATGGGTGCAGAAAGCTGGCAGAACAAGTCCTCCTTCAGCTTTAATTTATAAAAGACTGTTCTAAGCGCAGCCCATATCTGTTATTCTACCCTGCAGGTTTATTGTGAAACAGTTGCAGCATCAGTGAGAATTTAGCAGTAAACCACATACTGTGAGTGTTCGGGAAGATGCGGTGCTCTAGTGTGTACCTCTGAAGGAGCTGGTAAGTGAGAGTTTAGGCCTTCACAAGTCTGTTGTTTGTGAGACTGCATTTCGAGTTTTCTGTTTTATCATGGCTTATTCAAGGTCTCATCAGAATTAAGAAGCATTGGGCAGTGGAATGAGTGTGATAGTTTCAAACTCTGATCTGCTGAGTGAATTATAAAACCACCTGAAATCCAGACAATGTTTCGTTTTACTGCCGTCTTTTTCCATGTACCTGAAAAAATTACCTCTCTCAAACAATTCTCTGGTAACACTTAAGCAAGAAAAATACTGATAATGCAACAGAAATAATAGATACACAGCTATATGTCTGGAAAATGTAGACATAAAGATGAATTAAAGAACACTTGCTTCCAGGAGTGGGAGGGAAAAGTCTTCTAGTGCTCAGTGTTCATGAATTGTTTGCATTCCTTTCTTTTGAAAAGCAAGGAGAGGAAGAATTCCCTGAGTGAATCTTGATGTATTTAGTTTATGTGTATTGTGGCACTTCAGATCCAAGTTGACAGTGATTTGAAATTTGTTTCAAATGTGGAACTCTGGTGTGAAATACTTGTTTTAATTAGAATGTCTGTGTTCTCAAAACTGTGCTGGCATCTCGAGCATGAATACTTTCTAATTTGGGCTCAAGTTTGTGCATGACATTATCTTTTTTTCCATAATCCAAAGAGAAAATGCTGCCAAACATGAAACATATTCCATGGACTTGTAAATTGTTTTGCTGTGGGTGTCTGATCTTGAGCAAATTCACATACTCAATTTAAAAAATAAAGCTTCAGCTACCTCATTCAGATCATGGTTAGTATTCATGTGTATTGAAGATCTTGGAGGCTCTAGGGCTCTTTCTTTTCTAAAGTTAAAATTATGGTGTGAAAAATCGTTCAGGTTGGCAATAGAATGGTTATGATTGACTTGTGGCTGGAAAGCAGTAAAATGAATTGTATTAATTCCGTGGTTTTTTTTATGGGGAGAGCAATTATCGGTACAAATCCCTGCTGGAAGCTGCTGTCTCTTTTGGAAGTGCTGCACTTGATTTATTCTTTGACTTGAAAGTCACAAGCTCTTTCCAAACTTGCGGAGGTGTGGCACAACTAGACTTTAGGAACACTATGGAATTTTTTCATATATACTGCATATAAAGAATATGGATTATTCAATCTGTCTGATAGCCTTCGTGGGCATTACTGTAAAAAAAAAAAAGGTAGATATCTCATATTACCTAAATGGCTTGAATTTTTGCCTCATTCGAACAGATGTTATTTATATATTGTGTTAATAGGCTTCTAATTTTTACTGGCCAATAGAGAATCCAGCAGGATGTGAAGAAGTGGTTCTGGGACCTAGAGTAAAATGTAAATTGCATAAATATAGCATACACCTCATACGTCTGGAAGCTTTAAAGCAGCTTGTTCATCTCTGCTTTCCTTTTCCTGCAGTTAAAACTGGTTCAAACAAAAAACAACCAACCAACAACAAATATGTATATGTAAAGATTAGATATTGTCTCTCTCTCTCACAGAAATAAAAAATATTGGCTGATGGTTTGGGGGCAAATAGATCTCGTGTCCTACTTCTGCTGGAACAGCTGCAGGGCAGATGTTCTAGTTTTTTAGAATCACTAGTGGCTGTGAACAAATATCTGCCCATAAATGCAGCAGTATTGTTGATTGGTGTCTTGATTTATTTCAGGAATGGAAATACAACCAATATGGAGCTTATACTGTACAGCTATTCGCATTCACAAAGAGGAGGATCAGGCACTTAGAAGTGGCTGTTTTCACAAATGTTTTCTTGTTTAGTATGACTTGTTCCTGAAAACAAGTATTTTTCTAGATAACAAGAATGTACTTGTTTAAACAAATGCCTTTTTCATCTGTTTTCTTAGTATTTACAGCTATTATAATAATCTCAGGTATTGACAAAAATCTGTGCATAGCATCCAAAACGTGAAGAATTTATCAGCAAATGTCTTTACCAACTCTTAACTACTTTCCCTAGAGGAAGTCGTTCTCAGTATCTCATTTCTGAAGACAGATTGTAGAAAACTGATAGGTAATAAAACAAACTCTGTGCATGTGTTTGTTTAAAATACATCCATCCATATGCACATCCTGAGGATTCTTTTAATGCTAGATGCTGCTGGACTGCCTTGAAAAACCCTAAAGTTGTGTTACTCAACATTTACTGCAATAGAAAGGCATATAAAGAAAAAAACCTCTGTTTTTAAGAGGTTAAATGTGCAAATTAAAGTTATACCCAATGTGATCTAAACCATAATTATTCCTGGCATTTACGTAAGTACTCTTATACTGTCATACACAAGTGGAAATCTCTCTGTCAAACTAGAAAACTGCAATGCCTACATCAGCAATCATTTACTAAGTCCTAAGTAGCTTCTGTTCTGCTCAAAGGTGTTCAAGAAGAAACTGTTACCATCAAAGCTATAAGCTAGGTGTGCTTGGCTTTTGGGGGTACATACTGCACTCTAGGCAGGTTGTCTCCTTTCATCTTCTGAGGTGACTTCACATCTTTGTTAAAACAGATCTTTGCACATGAGATGTCTTGTCACTTCAGCTACTGTTGAAAAATAACATTAAAGCTGTTTAGTCAGCAATTTATAAGCTTAATTGTAGGTTAGAAATGTATCTTTCCATCCTTCTGTAAAATTTCCAGAGCTAAATTTTCCCTGCTGTTTTTGGCTGTGCCATCACTTTCCAGCAGTTCTGTAAACTGCCATAATCCATGTTAATTTTCACTCCAGGATGTGGTGGTGGTAGCTTTTCCAAAGCTAACTAGCTCTTAGTATCTCATTCTGGAGAAGGTCTGTACGTACTGCTGATGTTCCTCGATTCCTGTAATCTCCATTGCCAACAGCAAGGCTAATCAGGCGCTGTCTTGGCCTTTGTCAGCTACCGTCACGCGCACAGTGCACTAACTTTGCCTGCTTTTCATTTTAGTATGGGTGTTCGCTTTATTTAGATGTATGTAAATGTGAACTGATGGAATTGTGGATGGTGCAGCTTGACACTGACAGACTTGACCTCCAGTGGTATGTGTGAATTGGAAGGTATCGTGACAGTGCAAGCTTTTCCTGCTCTGCCTCAGTCCCCACTACATGTAGAAATTAGTTGTAGCAGTAAGACTGGAGTTTCATTTTCAGTGTTTTCAGTCCTTGATCTTAGAGCTTTCAGCTGATAGCAGGAGATGGTAATAAGTTTTCCCACCAAGCTGAACTAATCTTAGTTTGAAGTTGAGGCAACAGGCTATGTGTAAGTGATTTAAAAAACTGAACGGAAATTAATCATAGGAACTGCTCAATGGTTTTGTTCTTCAGAAAAACAACTTGCCAAGGGTCATGATACCTATTTTACACTAATTTAAAACTCACCCGCTGGAATTCTATTTAACAAAAATAGCAACAAATTTCAGTTTGTGAGGTGAGTCACTAAAGGAGTTTCCCCTACAGTTTAAGACTTTTTTGGACAGTTTCCTCCTATTAATGTCCTATTAATGTAGAGGGCCTTGCCTGTCCCTGTGTTTTGTTTATAATATAAAAGACTATGTTTTCCTAAAGCTACCGTGCTGCAGTACTGCAGGGTCTGAGAACTGGATGTGGCTTCCAACATTATATTGACTAGTGAATAGGCAGATATTATAATATTGACATAGGGAGAGTCTGAGCCATGCCAACCAAGCATGACATAGTGCCTAAAAAGAACAATTTAATGTAAGAAATGCAGGCTTTCTTTAGGTTATGTCTGGAGTTATATAGCAAAAGCGGAGGGGGAGGCAGGGGGGAAAACAAGGCTTGTAGCAGCCTGTTCAAAGTATTCTGTTCCACATTGAGCAGGTCTGTTCTCAGGCAGTTGAGAAATACTACTTATTAACAGACAGGCTTCATTAATGCTTCATGTCTGTGCTGTCATGGGAGAAATTAATTACAGTATTGCCTTTTCAAAGTGGCATGTGCTCTGTGTCCTGATACGAATCCATCACAGTTCACTGCCACAGCCAGAGGAGCCTGAAACTGTGGGGAAGCTTATCAGCAGTGGTGCCAGGCAGTAACCGTTCTATTGCAATCACATTGATTTTTAGATCCTGGGTGTGGAATAGTCTCTGCATGGCCCAGTTTGGAGCAGACTGATAAGGCTCCTTGTTTCTTAGCAACCACAGTCTGCCATAGCCAGAAACCTGCCCCTCTGCAGCTGGAGGGAAAATTCTGAATGTCTCGAATTTGTATCTTGAACCAAGGTAAGTCATGCCCCCCTGGCATATTTAATTTAAAGGCCTTTGCATTCAAATAAAAGGAATGTGTTGGCAAAAGTTCCTTACGAAGGGAATGCATAACTTCCCTGTTGTGAATAAGACATTCTAATTTCTTCCCCTGTTCTTGTTTAGACCTGTGTCTTTCCTGGGCATGGAGGTGCCGTATGTCCTTCTCTTAACTAGACTCGTAGCAGAAGTTGCCAGCAAATCTACTGAAAGTTCGGTAGGTACTTCATGTTTTTTGTCATGCTAGGTGCTACAAAAACAGAAGGATCAGATTATTTTCCTCTCACATTGTGGTTTAAAGAAGGCTTTCTAATTCAACAGAAATGACCTATATTGCTAGCATTCATTAACTGAAACTTTTACAGTAGGTTAATTTGCTATGATGGCTGATTGCTTGTTAAAGCATTGAATTCTTTCTAGTCATGTGCATGTAGGGTAGTAGGGATGCAACTGATAATGCCTCACACCATGTGTGAAAAGCACCCTGATGATCAAAAACTCCCTTTTCAAGCTGCTTGACAGTTTAACTACAAACAATCCAAAACATGGATACCCAAAAGTTAACGTTTCAAATGACTGAGAAGCTCTGAAGCAAACACTGCTTCAAGTCACAGAAAAAGGTCAGAGTATAAAGTTCTGCTTGCAGGAGAGTTCAACCAAACAAAACTTGTTAAGAAACTGGTTTTAAGCATGTTATCTATAGATCTTCTGGTTCTTTACTGTAGTCTGCCTTCCCATGATGCACTAACAGTGTGAAGTCAGCCTGCTAATTTCAGTTTTGACAGTCCCAACCATTTCTCCTGATAGCTTTGATCTTTGTCACCCCTAGATTTTGATGAGTTTTGCTGATTAGCAGAATAATTCTGGCTGTTACATGTTAGGTATGTTTAAGTTAGTTCTGTGGCTGAATATAGATCAGGTCTTGTTACTTTCGACCAAGAGTACTTCATCCCTTTTTAAGACTGATTTGACTTGCTGTATTCTTTAGGGGAATGTACCTGCAAAACTTTAAAAGGCGTGGGAGTTTTGTGGCTTGGTCTTCTTGTACGGATTCAGAGAGTAGATATGCCCAAGTCTAGACGGGCTGTTGCTAATGTCTATCAAAAGAACCACAGAGTTTTTAGCAACCGTTTATCTCTAAGCTTATGTCACAGCTTGTTGTAATTTGTAAATAATTTTGAAACTGGCTTTTATATAAACAAACAAAAAATAAAAATAAACTACGTGCCTTCAGGTTATGTGAAGTTACTCCTTTACATTAAACGTCGAAGGAAGAAGCTTTTGTAGTTCTGCTGGATTGCTCTGCCAAATGTGTTATCATTGCTTGCAGTATGGGCATTCAGTGAAAAATGGATTTTGCCAGTCATTTTGCCAATAGCGTTTCTGAGCAAATGTGTCAGGGCGTTTGTGTGGTGCTGCGGGAAGGATACTCCCCCTGTGAACTGAGCTTCAGTGAAGAATTTAGCAAGTCTATTTCTAAAGCAGTTTTTTGAGGCTTTATCCGATGTCAAGAGTAGTGTGTACATTTGTTCTCAAAGTGTGAGTTTGGGTAGCAGCTGCCAGGTCAAAATCAGCTTGATGGTGTGTCTAGTTTGTTCTCTCTTTGTAAGGTTGCTTAATGCAAAAAGAAAAGTTACAGCAAGTTTTAACTGCAGTTACTGCTTTTCCTCTATGTTCTCTGTAGATTTTTGTTGTTGTTGTTGAAGTATTTTGGTAAAATTAAGAGCTGTGTGAAATGTAATATAACTTCTTTTTGTAGGTTTCAGAAACAGAATGCTGTGTGGATATGCTGGATTCAAACAATTCCTGTCCAGTAACCAACCAGTGCAGTCCAGGTATAGTGTGCCATTGTCTTTGACAGTTAACACCAAAATTCAGTGCCTGATTAGTTGGGGAGTGAAAAAAAAATAATTAGTGCATGTACATATTGAAGTCTTTCTTCCTCTATATACGCAAGGTAATGCTTCTTATGAATCACAGATATTGTTCTTGCATGGTAAGGAGAATAGACAACTATTAATAACATTACTCTTTATCTTTTTTATTTAGTGTGCAGTTCAATTTTGTAAGAGCTATTGTAAATGCTTAAAAGCCCTAAAAGCCTGTATAATGAGCATAAAAAGCAAAAATGCTGTACTGTGTATCTAAGGGAGCATTAAGAATAGTTTCAGTATGGTCTTGTTAGCAGAGAATGCCTAATTCTTTCTTGTGCCATATATGTAGACTTGTTTTCTTCTAAATGGAGTTAAAAACTTCTTTGTTACTTTCCAACAGTAGCAAAAGGGTGGGGTTTTTTAATGCCATTTTATTTAAAATCGGAGACTAAAAGCGGGAAAATGGTTTCAGAGCCCACAGTAACAAGAGAAATAGCGACTTAAAAATTTGGGTCCACTTCTGAGTTCAGTTGTTTCCTTGTGACAGTTGTTAAAAGCATTCTAAGCCTATCTATTTCCACTGCTTTGTTAGCTTCTCTATCTGTTTCTTCATTTAATGCGTCCATTTCTGCTTCTAAATGTTCTTAGATATGGTATAAGCAATTGACTTCAAGTTATGGGATTGTGTTCTCTTAAATCTTATTGCAAAGTGATGATCTGCTCCTATCTTTGGTGTCAGATAAGTGCTTTGATCCTTCCTTCCTGTTACTGTAGAAAGTCTTTGCCCTTACATTGGGTCTGTTTGCGTTTAGATTAAATCTCAGATGTAATTCATTGCTGTGGGCATCAAATGTGCTGCTTCTCTGTAAGAAAAACATAGCAGCAGAGCTGTTCTCAAATCAGCACCTTACTAATGGTTTGCTTTATGGGATAATTGATACCAGTTTGGCCCAAAGCTCTATAGAACTGTATATTAACCAGCACAGTAAGCTTTTTTTCTTTAAATGTTGACTGTAATATGATCTAGTAGGAATAGCCTTCTAATCTTCATGTCTCAAGTCTAAGCCTCAAGTGAAACACCACAACTTTATTGTATTAAATGAAATTGTTATTGAAGATAGGTCGTAAATTTTTTTCTTAACAAAGACATAGCAGTATGTGTGTTTAAATAGAAATTGTGAGATCTGAACATCGAAGACATAGGCCAAGATGAAAGTTTAATCAGTTTGCAGCCTGCATGGTAGGGTGACTGATATAAAACACTCACCATCTGTCACAGAATAATTTAAACAGGCTTGCGTTCTTCTTAAAGTGAAACAAATAGTACAATACTTCAGAGGACTGAGGCATGAGAAAAAGCCTGTATTAAGGCAGTGTTCATATTTTTAGCTTGCGTGCTGGAAGTGATTGACTATAGGGGTGCCAGTATCTCTTTTCATCCAAGTATGCTCTTTCTGGTTCTTAGCATCTTTGTCCCTGCCTACTTCTATTTTCAATACAATATACTAAGATGGTGTTAAATTTTGTTTTGACAGTGTATGACCTCTGAAAATAAATGGTAAAATTCTGCTTCTTTTTTAGTATTGTTGAGGGCAGTTACAGGTTGTTAGACGCTTCCCATTTTAATCAGAACTAAAACATGGGAAGCAGTGAATGGAGCTATGTTGAAATTGCCCTCCGGGAGTTGTTTGCTTGTAACTCTTTCTCCTTTTTGATCCTTGAAAGGTTATATCTTTTCTGGAATAAACACTTTGAAATGAAACCTCTTAACTTCTGTAATACAATAGGAAGCAGGAGATGTTTGTAACTGGTAGACCAGGCAGAGGGAATTTCTGTTGCCTCTACCTCTTTCTGAAGACTAGAAAATATTTCCAGTGTCCCTTTTGTTGTTTTCTAACCTCTGTATGTCTTACTCTGATGCAGGTTGTTACAGACGATGGAATGAGGATGGTAGTAGCAGCTGCATTAAATGCAAAAATGAAACCCTTCCTGTTTCAGCTGTTTACAACCTGACTGAATGCAGAAATAGTGAGTCATTTACCATCCCCTTATTTTGATGGGTGCTTTTTGGTACTGAGATCTCATCTTGCTTGCATACTCCAGCAGATTGTTCAAGAAGGCATAATCTGTCTGGCGTCCCTCCCCCCCCCCCCCCCCTTGTAAAACTTCGACCTTTTCCAAAGTCCTAATATAACTTTGAGCTTTTGAACATGCAACAAAACCAATGGAAACTTAGAAATTTAGTTTGCGGAAACTGTGCAGAGTGCTGTGCGCTGTCTGAGGGGGAGGGAGAAATAAAATTCTTGTTGTGTATTAGAGTACCTAATCTGTGAAACCAAATGCAACATTAAAAAAAAAAAAATCCTTCTGACCAATGTAAGTTCTTAAAATAAAAAAGCAAACTCCTAAACATCAAAATGATTAAACTTACAGGATAGTACCTCTATTAAACATAAACTGAATACCGAATTTTGTGGCTGCTTTTATTTATTTCTGCTATAAGAAAAAGGCATTTTCTGTGGGTGTTTGCTAGGCACTTCTTCAGAGCACAAATAGCTCAGACTGTACTGGAGTTTCTTGAAAAATCTATATTAAGAAGGCTAGATTCATTTTGTACACGTGCTTTGTTTGAAAGCTGAGAACCATTCAATTCCTCGTAAATATTTTTAATGAAAGAGATGAGAAACTTGATCAAAGTTTCTGGGAAATGCACCAGTGAATTATTTTCTTTTTGTACAAGTTATGATGATGCTTGTTTGCTTCCTTCTTTTGAAATTCTTATAAGTGATATAAAGAATGAATTTTTCATGGGAGAAATTGGGAGTCCTATACAATTTCAAATAACTACTAAGAAGTGTAATAGCCTTTTACTAAGATTTTCAACAAATATGTAGTTTTTGTCAGATTCTACTTTAAAAAAATCTTTCTTGTTACAGCTGGTATCAGAGGAATGAATTTCCAAATGAATATAAGCACCGTAACTCCTTTCATACAGAACATAGGTGAGTAAATGGAAATAGCTATTGAGTGCAGGCTTTGTGATTATTCACTGCGTACCAACCCCTTCGGGACATGGCATTTGAAACGAGTCATAAAATATGTTTTTCTGTAGCATAGGTTTTATGCTAAAGGTAGTTGCTATTTTCATTTTTTCTGGCTTGTTCTCAACAAGAATCTTTTATAAGTTGTTGGTTTTTTTCTCTCCTATGAATATTGGGAAGTTGGTCTTTATCTTTTGTTTAACCCTTCTATTAGAAGAGATTTCTAGTGAATAATAGTCTTTTTTTCTTTCTGTGGTGTTTTTATACAGGGGGCCCGGAAGTGGCAGGCTCTCTCATCTTAGGGACATTTTTCATCAGTTTATTCTTGATTCTGTCTGTTGCTTCTTTCTTCTACCTCAAACGTGCCAATAAACTTCCTAATGTCTTCTACAGAAGAAACAAAGGTAAAATACCTGTAATTGTCTATTTGATCTCAAAAGTTTTGGCCTTTGCCCAGTTTCTTAATTTTCTTAATTTTGTTTTAAATTTCTTCATGTCAGTGTTCTAACTTCATGCAGCTTCTGCTGTCTCTTTTGATCATCCAAATCAATGCAAACAACTAATGAAAGTTTTCTCCTGCTATGTGTTTAGAGTATCATGTTTTCATGGTAGTGCAGAGGATCTGTTCTCAGTCTAAGTGTGCTTAGGTGCATATTACACAACACCTTTCACTAACCCACGTGTTGGTTTTTGTAGCTTTCAAAGGTTTGCCAGGGCACAATAATTGACATCAGTTGTCGGTGAATATTAGGTCTCCGAGTTAAAAAAAAATCAGCCACGGGGCGTTTTTATAGAACTTAAATTAATTTTGGTACACAAAATGCCAGACACTTATAAAGCCTTAAAAAAAGCAGTTGTTGTTTGTTCTTGGTTTAGTGAGAAGGAAACTGTAATACTAAAAGGCAGTGTCCTTACCATGGATGTGTCAGCAGCAGGACAAAGGGAATGGAATTTGAGGTTCTTCATTATTGCACTACTCATTGAACTGTGCCCTCTAAATGCAGGATTTACTGGGGCTGTTGGGGTTTTTTGGGGTTTTTTTTTTTGTTTTTTGTAAAGCAAATACCCCTTAGCTTTTCTTTTTATAAAGAACTTTATTCTTTATTTCTGCCATTCCTGTTACTGAGAAATGAAGCCATGTAACTAAAATGCAGTGACCTGACTTCATGCCAAAGTGATTACAGAAAAGCAAGGGAAAGAACACCTGGGATGTGCTTAGCCATAGGGCATGAAGAGTTGGTGTAGACATCTGGGTCTTTCAGATGCTTCGGTTTCTGTGAAGTTGTTCTGTGTGTCCACCCTTTACTGGGAGGTGGTGAGCAAAATAGGTGGAAGGTGGTGTCTCCATTTTGCCCAGTGTTTGCATGAGACTGAGGCTGATCTACAGCTCTGTCTCACTCCTTCCATGTAGTCGCTTTGAATGATTCCTGTGACAACTTCTAGAACAGCATTTGCTGTGTTAGAGCTCCTTCTGTTGAAAGCAAGCTGTTTACTGGATAGATCTGCTAAACAAATAGAACTGTCATTTTCATTCATGTCTTACAGGACCGAGCTTAAGCTAGACTGTCACAATAGAAATAAGCTTAAAAAGAGAAAAAAAAGGGGGTGAGTGCAGCAATACAGTTCCATTGTTTGGCTAAGAATGTTGTATCTAGTCATAGTAACTTCATGGAACGCCACGTTTCCAGTCTCTGTGGTATGATTTCCTGTAAAAGTGTACAACAGTAGCAACCTATGGTCTAAACTGATCCGTCTTGCAGGAACTGCTAGTATCCAAATCAGAACTGCACTATTGAAACCTCTAGGTTGCTTTTGCACGTGTCTTCAAGTAAATTTAGTTAGTACAAGATTCTCCTTCAGTTCTGAAGTGGGTCAAGAGCTGTTGTGCTATGACATTTCTAAGCTGGCAGGACACCAGGGCTCTGAGGCTTTGGTGATAATGGTCTGATTTCTGCATTTTGTACTGACAGTTCGCTCTGGTCCAGCAGGCTAAAGCATTGATGTGCTCCTTTGAAGGAGAAGCAGTAGAAACCCTTCTCCAGCTTGTTGTCACGTTAGCTTTCATTCTGTCTAGATGATGATTATCATGTGCCCAATAAAGGCAGCAAGCTCTTGTATATAAAAGGGTTGCATCTTTCACTGCTCAATTTGTTTTCTATTTGTATTGCCTTTTTCTGGTAGCTGGCTCAAAGCGCCTTTTTTTCCTATTGAATCTTCTTCATATTAAAGAGACACTGCTGTGGCTACCTTCTCTGAAAGCAAAATAAGTCATTCTTGGAGACCTTTGCGACCCTTTATCTCTAATCTTGAAAAGAGTCCTACAGACAGTGTATTCTACTAGCAGGATTTCTGAATGTTTTGATCTGTTTTGGTAGTCTTTGACAGAACCATGTTTTTAACAATAGAACTATTCTATTGCACGCATATGTTTTTAGAAAACTAGCAGTTCTAGCCTTCTAGATTAATGATGGTTAGTCTCTCTCTTTCTCTCTCTTTTAGCATCTGTTCTCCAGCCTAGTGAAACAGTAAGTAAATTCTGTCCTTCCAATAGGAATAAGCAAGCATAAAACATCAATTAATAATAGCTTAAAGTTTTATACAGCTCATCAGGGAGCTACTTAATCTGATGTATGAGAGACTGAAATAAAAATAAAAGATGTTTTGGGGTTCTTTGTCCAAACTGGAGAAAAAGCTGAAAGATGAATACTGACCATATGGATTCTATTGAGTTACTTTCTCCAAGAAAGACTATGTACACAGTAAATGTTATTGGAACCCTAAAATGTTCCTATTTTTTTTTTAATGAAAGACAGTGAAGACAAAAGATGCTTTGTTTGACATGATCATTTTTCTGTTATGCAGGCATCCATGATACCTCCCCCAGCTTCTTCAGGTGAGGAACTGTTCTCTGGCGCATGCTGCTACAAACATGTTACCTGTTGGCTTTCCTTTTATGCATCTGATTGTTGAAAAGCAGGCAAACAATCTCAAAGAGGATATGCTAAGAATACATAGCAAGCCAGAACGATTACCTGTAAAGCCTGGTATAGAACTGTGGAATCTGTTGAGGGGATGGAAATCTAATGAAATCTCTCTAGTAGAACTTTTTGATAGGATTTATTGCTTTGATTAATGTAGGCATACAGTATTGATGGAGTAATTTATGTTAAAGTAGATCTTTGGCAGCTCTTAAAATAGATCTTTGACTTCTCTGTCCTAAAACAAAAGTCTTACAAGTAGATGCAGTATTTTTTCATAAGTGTTCAAAAATAAATTACTCAGCCTGGGACCTATTTTCAGGATTGGATTTTCTTGACAATGCCAGGTTGGCTCATTTTCAGGCTTGCTGATGTGAAGCTTATCAGGTTCTTGAAACAAATAGCAGAGACTGTTTGGAATATATTTGGGGGGGGGTTGTAGGCTGGCTCTTTTTGGCAAAGTGGGTTTTTTATTTGTGTGAAACTCAGGCAGAAATTTAGTTCTTGGGGAAGACTTCATCTAATCAGCTTGTCTCAATTTTCCTTCCCAATTTTTCGTAATTTCAGCCTATAAATATTACTGAGAAGTGTACTTGGGCAGGGTAATACAGTAAAATATCTTTTCTCTGTGCTTGATCCCTGTGCTTTGAAGGTACAACGATAGAACTTGTGGTGACTTAAAGATGAGACAGACCAAATCTTTTAAAAACTTGAGAAATAATTGCCTTCTAAGCTGAGCAAAATTCCTGGTCTCACTTCTTGTGTATGCATAGGCCTTTTTAATCAAGATGGTATAATTAAAATTTAATATTTATTAATGCAGTCTTTAGCTTTTAAACATTTTTTAAATGTGTTCCAAACTTGGTCTGGGTCTGACTGTTAAATTGACAGCCAGTGCTGATTGTGAAAAGGCTTTGTTTCCCCACCTTAATTTATACATCTGTTTAAAAGGAAGGTACACTTGTGGATTTTTTTGTTAGGGCTGAAAATGGAAAGCTACATGTACTGTAAACACGTACAAATAATGGAAATGCTGGTTTGTAATGAGCACCTGATTTTGTAGGACATTAGCAGCTTGCTTAAAAAGTTTATTTGTGGACTTTTGCTATATCTCAGCTATATGTAGGGGTTTTTGTGTTTTGGTGGGGTTTTTCTTAAGGTCCAGAATGACTTTGGTCAGTCAGGAATTGTTGGATGGCATGTGGTGTTATGAATTAACGATAACGGCACACTTATACAGCAGGTGCTAATGATGTTTCTGTGCCCACCATTTCAGTTCGGAAGCCACGATATGTCAGACGAGAACGGTCACTAGTGACGTCTGCATCTGCTGCTATGATCTCTTCTTCCGAAACCAGGGTCAGCAATGTTTAGCCTTCATTCTTGACTGAGGACTTTGTAAGTGTGCACAGTGTCGAAGAAACTTTTTCTGAATCCATTGAAGTGCCAGGAAAACATCGCAAGCAGCTGACCTAAATGGAAGCCAAATTACTGTGTCAAAGGGTTTGTGCCAAATGTTAACAGAGAAATGAACTGATGCAAAGACACTGATGGCAGGATGCATCCAGTTCGGTGAACTGCTTTGGTGATCTTGAAATGCACTATTCCAGCTCTGTGGTTTCATTTGTCTCCTACAGATGCTGTGTTTAAAATCCTTAAAGAATCTGCCTTTCTCTGGTACACTTTCAGTCTTGGCAAGTTCTTCTTCCTGCGTTGTGATGTGTTCTGTGTCCCCGGAGCTGAAGGTCTCAGTGCTGCAGGCCAACACAAATTACTGGGATTACTCAAGGATGTGGACTTGCTTGAAGGACCCACTTGTAAATGCCAACACTAAGTGCCACTGCTTAAACGTTGTAGGACAGTATAACAATACTTAACATGCAGTATCCTTCTGAAGCAAAAAATGAGGCCTCTTGGAGTATCCTCTTCAGCCTATGGCATAGCTGACCCTTGTTTTTAACTGTGAATATAGACCCAGTGTCCAGATACTGTTGTTCTTGGTGCTTTTGAAGGCTGTGGTCAGTATGGGTCCAGTCCCACGTGTGGGAATTTGTTGGGAAGCTTTTCTGATGGCTTCAGCTCAGTCCCTGGATAAAGAGCCATTTGCTGTGGCTTTGTAACTGATAGGCTGCTATGTCTGTCCTGCAAAGACTGTCTCTGCTAGCGTCCTTCCCTTAACGCAGCAGCTGAGGGAAACCAAAATTCCTGCAGGGTAGCTGTGCATCCGTTAGACATGTCAGTGAGCGTTGAGATGAACTGGCGAGGTCAGGTGAATTTCTCCCAATGCAATAAGGGGTTGCTTTGGCCAAGCCCTTCGTTAACATGCCTGAGATCTGCAGGCCAGCACCTTATGACAGACCTCAACAAGTATTTCCTTGTTGAAAGTGCCAGCCTAAATAGCCTCCACTCTCAGATGCTTGTTCTTGCCCATCGTATGCCAGCTGTGTGGCTGAGTAGTCACTTGATCAGGAAACTAAAGTAGCTGTAAAATAAATTTTTTTTTCTTATTGGCTAGGTTATCCTTCACCATATTTATTTTTTTCTGGCATGGTTGACTCTGTTGCCATGTGAACACGTATTTCAGCATAATGGGCACAGTGGTATGGGCATAAGAGTGGGTGACTGGGGGGGGGGGAAAGTGAAAAACCTGAGGTTGCTAAATTGGTTGAAGCATGGCTGTTACCATATGTGACATTATAACTATGCAGCTTGTGCATTCCCACCTACCTGTGTTGCTGTTGCCTGTTTTGGTTTAGCTGGCACTCCATTATGAGTCTGTGCTCCTAAAATAAATGACTTGGAAGCTCTTCATCAGCATTCACTGGCACGAACGTAAACTGGAACAGTCAGTTCTCTTTTTCAGGAAAATGTGAACATAACTGTCTTGAGCTGACATGACACCCATATGGAGAGTCCAAGCCTTGTCATCCAGATTCCCTTTTCTCTGTGGTTAAAAGTTTATTCAGAGCTAAAAGATGAGAACTGGGATAGGAGGAGATATATTCATCTTATTGAACAGACCTGGTTTTATGTAAGTTTCAGTATTTACTTTTATCTCTTTACTTACAAGGTAGTGAGATCTCTTGTAGCATCCAAACAAGCTAGGGCAAAGACTGGGGATAAAGAGCAAACCATGAAGAGGTCCCCATGCCCCCCAAAGAAAGCCTGAATTGCTGTATGAAGAAACTTAAGATTGTCTTTCTGTCGCAATGATAAAGAAAATTTTTGTGCTACTGAACAAAACTAAAGACAGCAGACAATGCCATTTTGAGACCCTTCAGCTTTCAATATGAAATGTGCTTTATAATTCGTATGTTCCAAGTTCAGGAGGTGGTGGGTTTGTTTCTGTCATTTTGATATCTTTTTATCTCTGTGCTGCTGCAGTTTTCCCCAGGTAGAAATTATGTCTGGAGGTCATAGGTTTTTCCTGAACTTAATTTCTGAATATTTTCCTAACCTCTAAGGAAAAGGAGTAACTATGCAAATAATGCCAAGAAACTGCACCTTTGAAAGCAGGGAGTTTCTGCTTGCGAATTTGTCAATGATAGTGCATTCTTGTATTGCTTAGTTGCTAATGTATTCTTTTTACACGTAAATTATTGAAGGATCATTCCTGTCGTACTGTCTGAACCCTATCTTATCCTCAAGTGCATATTGTAACTTAACGTCAAGCGTCAAAAAACTCTTTTAAATACAGCAAATATTTTTACTATTTTATTTTGTTTCAGGAACTGTTCAGCTTCTGTTATTGCTGTCTGACCACAGTGGACTCCTGGTCTAAACAGTTTCTCATTTGTTTTGCACTGTCAAATTAAATATATAATGTTGTGGTTTGGTTTCCATCTCCCTTCAAAATAATAATACATACCTATATATATTTTAAAAAATTGGCTTTAATGAACCCTGATATTTAATGTATTTGTATATTTTTAAATTGTGCCAAAATAAACAATTTGAGCTTTTTTTTTAAATAACTGGAGGTCATTCATGTGTTTCCTTTTCAAGCACAGAATGAAGGGAGCGAAATTAGGAACCAAAGCAGATCCTTGTTTCAGATCATATGGCATGTTGCCTCCACCAGAACTGAGGTTAAAAAAAAAGGTCTGCTGAATGATCCTGCCCGGTTCTACAGTAGGGTAGGCAGGCTGTTCATCTGCAGGCTGTATCTTCACACCTTGCAACCACGTGGCAAAAGCCATCCATAATGGCCTTACCTGCAGTGGGGTGAAAGTAACTCCTTGGCAGAGAATGTAGCTTTAGTAAATGACAGAATTTTTACATCAGCATATATTTACTCATTCAAAGAAGACAGCAGGAGTAGCAAGAAAACCGTAAAGGCAGAGGCTGCTAAGCGGTGCCAAATGTACCAGAAGTTGAGATAATCAGGATCATTTCTTACCAATCGGAGTGAAGATTATGATCTTGGGGGTTTGGACATCTTCCCCCATCTGATCTCTTGTTAATTTTAAAATGTGTGTTCTTTTTCTCCTTCCCCTCCTTCCCTGGGGTTTTGGTACTCTTGATGGACTGCTTTCTTGCAAATGTAACCTGTGTTCTTAACTCCAGTTGCCAAAATGATCCATAATAAGGAGAGCTGAGCCAAAGGAGATTGGGATGCTGAGCCACATGGTCTGAAATACTAGGAGTTAAATTTGGCAGCGCTCTTTTCCCTTGCAAAGCTAACTGAAGTAGCCTGATATATGAGAAAGATGCTGCTTTTAGTGAAGTATGCAGATGAGGAAGGAGAAGCCAAATGCTTTCATACCTACTGTGCATGCACTGTGGAAAGTCTAAGAAACTTTGTTGTCAAAGCCAAGGTGACAGTGTTGCATACAAAGAGAAACTGACCTGGAAAATGATCCCAGTGGGAGAGGAGGACTTCAAAGAGGATTTGTCAGTTAAATGGACTCTGACCACCATGCACACCAGAATTGAACAGCCTTTGGGAAGAGGGAGTACTGTGTCCTTGCCATTAGTCACCCGAGTGAATTCAGTCGGTGCAACTGGCAGTGAGTGAACTGGGGAGAGCGGTCAGTGGCTGTACAGCAACAGGGAACGATTCGAGACTGTATTTTGCACAGCTGCGAGGAGCTGTCTCCCTTAGCCATATGTCACCATCTGAAGGTGAGTGCATCGTAGATGGAAGACTGTGACAATCATTGCTTAAAATTCTAAAAATTCTAAGTCTAAAATATTGTGTTTCAGTAGAATCTGTTACCCAGTTATAGGCCCTCCAGAAGGCTGGTGTCATGTGCATAAAGAACGAAACAGAAATGATATTGCATACAGACACTCCGAAGTATTTTGCTGCATGAAACTGCATGAAATTTGCTAGATTAATGATAAAGCTTTGTGCAAACACAATGACTTAGGTTCAGCCTCCCTTGCCCTAGTTCACAGAAACTGTTCTGAAGTTGTCTCTTGGTCTTTATCTACACTCTTTTTCTCTCCTGTGCCTCCATCAAAACCTTCTTGGGAATGTTGCTTGGAAATACACCTTTGATTGTGGGCGCAAGTCTGTAACATCCTGACAGTAAGATCTGAAGGCTGAAAGCTGTTAAACTATAGAAGAAAATTGAAGGAAAAAGAAGCTGGGGGACAACTGAGACGCTCACTGGGAAAAAGGAACAATAAGGTTTTTGCTCTTGTCCCTCTACAGTTACACAGGATGCGATCTAAGATGCCAAGTCAAAGAGTATGGAAGAGTAGGAAAGAATACGGACGTTGATACAAAAGTTTGAGGCGCTCTCATGTACTTGAGATTTGTAGGTGGCTGGGTGGAGAGGTTCAGCTGTGTGTGGTGTGACTGCATGGAAATGCTGAGTGCCACAAATGGCTGAGCTCAGCAGGTTTTTTTTGAAAGCATAGCTGTGCTGTGCCAAGCTAGTGCCTAAAATATTGTGATAGTAACTTTGATTTAAAAAACAAAGAAACAAAAGTTGTACCTGCTCGCACTTGAAGTTAATTTGGTTGTCACTTGAAGTTTTTTGAAAGAATGTGGTTAAGATACAGTCGATATCTGGAGTGTGCGTGCGTTGCTCTTGCTACCAACACTGTGAGGTTTTGTCACTTGAAGTTTTTTGAAAGAATGTGCTTAAGATACAGTCGATATCTGAAGTGTGCGTGCATTGCTCTTGCTACCAACACTGTGAGGTCTGTTGAATGTCTAAAGGCTGCTTTGCATTTTTGTCATTTATCTTTAATGCTCCCTGGTGAGAAAAAAGAAGAAATGATACCATGTTTATCATTCTAATAGCCTTGACACATTTTTATTGCTAACTGATTAGAAGCAATAGTATTCAGATAATTGCACTTCCTGTTTCGGAGCCTGGTGATTTATGTCCATTACTAAAGTGCTGAAAGTGTTTTAAAATGATAGTTTTAATAAGATGTGGTGCAGCTGTGAGGTATCTGCTCCAAACGGTTAGGTCTTTACCATTAAGATTGTTGTATTCTGTAACGGGACTAATATAGTAGGGGTTAGGGTTGAGTCATGTCATATTGATTTTGTAATGAGTGTTGTTTATGAGCAAGTCATCTGTTTTGTTGCAATTTTACATCCATCAAACTGAAATGTTCTCCTCTGCTTCTCGATCCCAGTCCCCACAGGAATGCAGTCATCTGGAGCAGAGCACTGAACTTTCTAAAACACGCAGGCTGTTCCACAGTGTTGTGGTGTAGTCCATTAGGTTACTATTACTTGATGTCAGTGCCTGTAAAACTCCAGTAATTTTCTGATGGCAATTATTCACCTTTAAGTACCATTATGTGACTGTTCTTTCCTAGAGCATGATCTTTTACAAATTTATATCTCATTCTGCTGCTCTCTGTCTGTTACCTCCATTGTGTTCACAGTGCAGGCCCCCGAGATACAGCCTACAAAGGAC